CAAAGGTTACTGAAAGCTGTCGGACGCTCAAAAAGACTGCATCGGACGTCCGACAACCATTGAGTATCTTCGGACGCAGAAAACCAGCCTACCGGACGTCCTAAGGAATTGAAGAAAAATTCTCAATTTTACATCATACCTTCGGACGCAGAAAACCAGCCTATCGGACGTCCGATAGAATTGAAGAAAAATTTTCAAACTCACTGCCTGCTGTCGGACGCAAGCATCGGACGTCCGACAGTATCGGACACATGCATCGGACGTCCGACACTCCAACGGCTAGTTGACTTTTCAGCTACTTTCTATCCGTTGGAAGCACTAATGAGTCACTTTCCTGATCCTATATAAATAGTGGTTGGTCAGATACTTAAAACAACTTTGGCACACTGAAGATACAAAAGATCTAGAGAGATTTTAGTGAGAAAATACTCTTCAAAGAAGATTTGTAGTCTTAGTGGTGTGAGGTTCATTGTAAGCTTTTCATTTGTGAGTGAATACTTCATGAGTGTAGCTCTGTGAGGGTTGTCCTGAAGGATAGTAAAACGTCCTGGCTTGACCGAGGGAGTTCGGGGCAAGGAGGAGGTGAACCTTCCTTTGTACACAAGAGTGATTGTAATTCATCAATTTGAAGTAGCTTGTTTGAAGCTCAAGAGGAGTTGGGTAGTTAATTGGTTTGCAAATTCTTTCCCTTTTATTTACTTATTGTTACGTTTGTGATCTGTATATTGTTTATCTCTTCCATTTGGTTGTCTTCGATCCTTACACTTTCGAATGCATCTTAATTAACCCAATGGAAGGGAAATGTGGAATTAGGCAGGTGATAGAGGAGATGAAGTGGACAGTGGAAACGGCTGGAGTCTTGGTGTTAGAGAAAGTGACAGTGGTTTGATCAGTTCACTAAGACTGAATGAAAAACTATCTTTATTGGAGGACATTCTGGAGTTCTGGGAACATACCAGAGAATGGAGAACTATCTTTATTGGCCAGGGATGAAGAAAGATGTAGAAGCTTATGTGTATGATTGTGACATTTTCAAGAGAAATAAGGATGAGCTATGCCATTATCCAGGGTTTTACAACCATTAGAAGTCCCTGAGCAGGTATGGCAACACATTTCTATGGACTTTATTGAAGGGTTACCAAAATCCTTTGGGAGTAATGTCATATATGTGGTGGTGGACAGGTTCACGAAATCTGCTCATTTTATCCCCTTGACATCCCATTACATTGCCAAGATAGTTGCTGATACCTTCTTTGACTAGATATTCAAATTGCATGGCTTACCTCTCAGCATTATATCTGACAAAGACAAGGTGTTTTTTAGTGCATTTTGGCAAGAGCTATTCAAGTTACTAGGGACAAAATTGCACATTTCTTCTGCTTACCATCCACAAAGTGATAGATAGACTGAGAGTAAACAGGGGTGTAGAAGCATACCTCAGGAGTATGTGCATGCAACGACCAAAATAGTGGAGGAAATGGCTAGCCACTGCTGAGCGGTGGTATAATATTAATTACCACACCAGCCTTCAAATGTCTCCATTTGAAGCCCTGTATGGGTATAAGCCTACATAACTCAGGTTAATTCCATACCATACTCAGGTAGCAACAGTGGAGGATTGGGCCAATAACAGAGTTAACTGGAACTTTATGCTTAGAGAAAATTTATTGCAAGCACAAAAAAGGATCAAGCAGCTGGCTGATAGGAATAAGAAAGAGAGAAACTTTGAGATGGGAGATTGGGTGTACCTGATAGGTTGCAATTTTACCATTTATTTTATTATTATTTTCCCCTATTACCTGACTTGATGTGGATTAATTGCTGGATTCTACTCATTTTTCTTAATTTACATTTATTTTAAGGAGTAGATCAAAAATACCACAATCACGGCTACTTTGATAGTTATCGGGAAAGAAATAAAATAGAAGGCTTGCAAGGGCATTTTTGGAAAAAGGGACACAAGCCCTTTTCGGTCATTTGACCGACGTCTTGTTTTCCCTGGGAGCGGCCGCACAGTGTAAGGGGAGACTATCAGATACAAAATGGAGGATTGCAGTGGATGAGGGGGCGGATTACTTTTGAGCTTTTCATCCTTTAGTTTAGCCTCACTTTTTGACTTCTCTTCTTAGCCTTTTGTAGGCATTCTCCACGGCTGTGAGAAAAACAATGAGGAGTACTAGCTTAGCATTTCATTGACTTCTTCCTTTAGATTTCCTTTTGCTTGTTCCCACGCATGTCAGGAGATTGGGGGCTACCTTCTTTGACTTTTCCTCCTTGTATCTTTTGAGTGGCTTTGCTCTACGGATGCTAGGAACAATAAAGAGATTCAATTGTTACCTGTAACTTTCATTTGCTTTCTAATTGTTCGACGAATTGCGGCTTCCTGAAATGCAGACCATGGCTGTGACTGTTGCTGAAATTTTGTACGGGTTTCGTTCATCGAATATGAACTAATTCCCTCACTCTAGTCAAGAAACGACAGATGCTTTGGATCACCTAAAAATTGTGAGACCGATTTAATTTAATATTTTCCTTTTATTTATTGGTATTCGCATATTCCTGGATTGCTATGCTTATGGTTATTTAATTAATTGATTGTCTTGGATCCGGATAATTAATTGATTTGGTAACCTATTGTCAATTAGGGCATTAAATCTGTAATTATTTAATTGTCCTGAAATAGTGACAACTGGCACGATTAGATTCGTGTCAGGGGGATACGCGGGCTAATCTGAAATAACCCTGGTAGTGCGTTATTTGGTTAGAATAGGGCTCCTCTAATACGTAAGGCAATTGAGGAATTAAATCTTACGGGCGTACCTAAGATTATTTCCTAATTAGAACAGTGATTAACGGGCGTACCTTAATCAACGACCCAGTAAGGAGGGGTTGACTGTCATCGCTTGTTTGGTAGTTATAACCTATTTATTGATAAATAATTGGAATTGCCTTTGTTTCGATGATCAATTAGGTGAACCATTGCTGAAGTTATTTCTTGGCTAGATCTTTAATTAATATTACCTTGATTTTAGTGAATTGCCATTTGACTTTTAGTTGCCTACTTTATTTTATTTTTAATTGTTTCCTTGTTTTAATTGCTTTAGGCCTTTAATTATTGTCACTCTAAGTTCAGTGAATTATTGTTTAATTTCTAATTAGTTATTTATTTTTATTTTATTTATTTGTCGTCGTTCCTACAAAATCACCCCATGTGTTACTTTGGATTTCTTAAGAGACAAATATACCCAACCCCTGAGGATACGACCCTTCTTACCCTGTCTACAATTCATAATTATTTGTGAAAAAAATAACCATCCCATTCGGGTATATCGGATCAAACAAACTCTTCGGGAACAGGGTGAATCAAGTAACCCATTGCACACCTATAGTCCCTACTCCAGTACTTGGAATTGAATTTTGGTCATTTTAACTGGTAATTAGGTTTAATTTTATTATTGTACAAGCTTCGACACCCTGTCAATTTTTGGCGCCGTTGCTAGGGACTGGCGTTATTATTTGTTTCTTCTTAAATTCATTATTTTGCTCTAATTTTCTGATATTTTTCTAGTGTATGCCTCGGTCTTCTCATACAGGTGATTTGATTTTTGACCATGAAGTAGAGAAGACCGCGCGTAGAACGAGGAAGGAAACCAGACAGTTCAGAGAGGAGCACTCCAGTGCTGCATCTCAGGGACCTGAGCCAGAAGTTGAACCAACAGATTCGTTTGGTGACACTTCGAGTGACTCTGACCAGGAGGAAGGAACCATGGCTAATGCGCGAACATTAAGGGAGTTGGCTGCTCCTGATTTAAATCAGCAGCCTTTATGCATTACCTTCCCCACCTTAAATGACAACACTCCATTTAAACTAAAATCTGGTCTGATTCATCTTTTACCCTCTTTTCATGGTTTACCAGGTGAAGAGCCGTATAAGCATCTGCAGGAGTTTGATGTCGTGTGCAATAGTATGAAATCCCCGGGCATTACAGAAGAGCAAATAAAAATGAGGGCATTCCCTTTTTCCTTGAAGGATTCTGCAAAGGACTGGCTGTACTACCTGCCACCAGGTAGCATCACCACGTGTGATCAATTAAAGAAGAAATTTTTAGATAAATATTTTCCTGCGTCCAGGGCTGCAAGTCTAAGGAAAGAAATTTACGGGATCAAACAGTACCCAGGGGAGTCACTCTATGAGTATTGGGAGCGGTTCAAGAAGTTGTGCATCAATTGCCCCCAGCACCAAATAAGTGAGCAGTTGCTCATACAGTATTTTTATGAGGGACTCCTTTTCAGAGACAAGAGCATAATTGATGCTGCAAGTGGAGGGGCACTGGTGAACAAAACCCCTCGGGAAGCATGGGAGTTAATAGAGGGGATGGCAGAGAATTCACAACAATTCGGTACGAGGGAGGATGTCCCAATACGCAAGGTGAATGAGATAGAGACATCCTCTATCCAGCAGCAGCTAACTGAGTTGACCTCGTTTGTTCGGCAACTGGCTGTAGAAAATGCATCTCAGGCCAAGGTGTGCGAGATTTGCACTAGTATGGGTCATTCTACAGACATGTGAATGAGGGGAAGAAAGTACAGAGTAAGTGAACATGGCTGGTCACGCGCCCGCGCCAAGAAGGCCCTATGACCCGTACTCGAATACGTACAATCCCGGTTGGAAGGACCACCCGAATTTCAGTTATTGAGGAAATAGGCAGCCCAACTTTACACCGAACAGGCAGTCTAATTTCGTGCCAAATAAGCAACCAGGGTACCAGCAGCAATACCAACCCCGACCACTTCCGCCCCCAAGCTCTGGTCCATCTTTGGAGGAAATGATGAAACAACTGATGGCAACCATTATGTAAAATCAGCAAAGGACGGACTCCGAAATGCAGGACATAAGAAATTAGATGAGTCAAATGGCCACAACAATTAACCGTTTGGAGTCCCAAACCCAAGGTAAATTGCCGTCTCAGCCTAAATTAAATCCGAAGATCGTGAGCGCAATGACCCTAAGGAGCGGGAAGGAAATTCTGGGGCCTGAGCCTGTGATCTCTAAGGACAAGGATGAGGAAAAGATCGAGAATGAGCTTGAGAGGGAGGACAACAATGGTGCAGATCCAAAAGTATTTCCAGACCCAGTAATTACAGTTAAAACTAACCCGCCTCCTTTTCCTAGCAGGTTGGAAAAATCGAAGAAGCAGGATAAGGAGAAGGAGATCTTGGAGGTGTTTCGCAAGGTTGAGATAAATATCCCCCTGTTAGACGCAATCATACAAGTGCCGAAGTATGCCAAGTTTCTAAGGGACTTGTGTGTCAACCGAAAGCGGTTGAGGGGAGATGAAAGGGTCATTGTTAGGGAAAATGTGTCAGCGGTCCTGCAGAGAAAGCTTCCACCAAAGTGCGGGGACCCAGGTATGTTTATTATTTCATGTAGGATAGGCAACACTATGATTAGAAGGGCCATGTTGGATCTGGGAGCATCAATTAATGTCATGCGAAAATCTATCTATGCTTCTCTAAAACTAGGTCCATTAAAAGAAACTGGGATAATCATTCAATTAGCTGACCGAACTAATGCATATCCTGATGGATTGGTTGAAGATGTGTTGGTAAAAGTTAATGATTTGGTGTTTCCAGCTGATTTTTATGTACTTGACATGGATGATGATTATTCCCCTGATCCCTCACCTTTGTTATTAGGTAGACCCTTTTTTAGCACAACACAAACAAAAATTGATGTTAATAAGGGTACCTTGTCCATAGAGTTTGATGGGAAAATTGTGCATTTTAATATTTTTGATACTATGAAATATCCCTCAAACTTCAACTTTAGCTCAGTATTCTCTGTGAGTGCTATTGACCATGCGGTGTAGGAAGTTTTTGAAACTGTTGGCAGGGATGAGTTGGAGGTGGCTTTAACCAAGGACCTCGAGTTGAAGACAACTGCTGAGGTGGAGTGGAGCGAGGATCTAAAATGCACAATAGGTGCATTACACTCATTGCCGATCACCACAAAAAGGTATGAAGTCTTGCCTATTTTTATTCTCGAACCTCACCAGAGGGTATTGCCATCTGTGGTGCAGGCACCTGTATTGGAGTTGAAACCTCTACCAGAGCACTTGAAATATGCGTATCTGGGCGACAACGAGACACTCCAGATTATTATATCAGCTGCACTCTCGAAAACTCATGAGGAGAAGTTGATCCGAGTCCTTAGAGAGCATAAAGAGGCGATAGGTTGGACAATCGCAAACATTAAGGGGATCAGCCCGGCCATCTGTATTTACCGGATTAGACTGGAAGAGAATGCTAAACCTGTTCGGCAGGCTCAAAGGAGGCTCAACCCCCTCATGATGGAAGTTGTAAAGAAAGAAATTTTAAAATTGCTAGACGTGGGGATTATTTTTGCAATATCAGATAGCCCTTGGGTGAGTCCGGTCCAGGTAGTCCCAAAGAAGGCAGGAGTGACGGTAGAGGCCAACCAAACGGGTGAGCTCGTGCCAGTGCGCAAACCCACTGGATGGAGGCAGTGTATTGACTACCGTAGGCTAAACGCTGTCATTTCCCTCTCCCTTTCATTGACCAAATGATTGAACGTTTAGCTTGTAGGGCTTACTATTGCTTTTTGGATGAATTTTCAGGATATTTTCAGATAGCAATTGCACCAGAGGATCAAGAGAAGACAACATTCAAGTGCCCGTTTGGGACCTTCGGGTACAGACGGATGCCATTCGGGTTGTGCAACGCACCTGCAACATTCCAGAGGTGCATGATAAGTATTTTTTCTGAATATGTGAAGAAAATTATTGAAGTTTTCATGGACGATTTCAGTGTGTATAGTGATAGTTTTAATACATGTCTAGATAACCTGAGATTGATCTTGTTGAGATGTATAGAGACTAACGTGCTTAATTGGGAGAAATGTCATTTTATGGTTGAACATGAGATAGTTTTGGATCATATTGTATCTTCTAAAGGTATCGAGGTTGACATGGCGAAAATAAATATTATATCTGCTTTACCTTACCGCGCGAGTGTGCGGGAGGTGCGTTCTTTTCTTGGACATGCAGGTTTTTATCGAAAGTTCATCAAGGATTTTTCAAAAATTGGAGTCCCGTTGTTCCAACTCTTACAAAAAGATGTAACCTTCGAATTCGATGACAAGTGTGAGAGAGCCTTCGACAAGTTGAAGGAACTATTAACCTCGCCACCGATCATTCAACCTCCTGACTGGAGTTTGCCATTTGAGATCATGTGCGATGCCAGTGATCATGCCGTAGGGGCTGTGTTGGGGCAAAGAGTAGGAAAGGCAGCTCACGTCATCTACTACGCATTTCGAGTTTTGAATGGGGCCCGGTTTAATTATTCCACCACTGAGAAGGAGCTCCTTGCAGTTATTTTTGCTTTAGAAAAATTCAGGTCATATTTGTTAGGTGCTAAAGTAATTGTATTTTCTGATCATGCAGCATTAAGGTACCTAATGACCAAGAAAGATGCAAAATCGAGACTCATCAGGTGGATATTGCAACTACAGAAATTTGACCTGGAGATAAGGGATAAAAAAGGTTCGGAGAATCTAGTAGCTGACCATTTGAGTCGCATACCAGTTGGAAAAGAGAACGAGCCATTGAAGGATGCATTCTCTAAAGAGCATTTATTTTCCTTAAATTCTCAATTGCCTTGGTATGCTGATTTAGTCAATTATCTAGTAACGGGTAATTTTCCTGCAGGTTGGCCGAAATCGAAGAGAGATAAATTGAAAAGCGATGCCAAGTACTTCATCTGGGATGACCCGTACCTGTGGAAGAGATGTGCAGATCAAGTGATGAGGCAATGTGTAAGTGAGATTGAATTTAAATCAATTTTAACCTTTTGTCATACTTTTACCTGTGGAGGTCATTTTGGACCCAAGAGAACTGCTCATAAGGTATTTGAAAGTGGATTTTATTGGCCTTCATTGTTTAAGGATGCTTATGTGTTTTGTAAGTCATGTGATCGCTGTCAAAGGGTAGGTAATATAGCCCGTAGAGATCATATGCCCCAAATCCCGTTGATTTTTGTCGAAATTTTTGATGTCTAGGGTATAGATTTCATGGGGCCTTTTTCTACTTCATTTGGTTTTATATATATTTTGCTGGCAATTGATTATGTGTCTAAATGGGTGGAGGCTAAGGCCACTCGGACTAATGACTCGAAAGTAGTTGCAAATTTTATCAGGTCTAATATTTTTATGCGATTTGGAATGCCAAAAGCTATTGTCAGTGATAGGGGAACGCATTTCTGCAACAAAACCATAGTTACGTTATTTCGGAAGTATGGAGTACTCCACAGGGTCTCAACGTGATACCACCCCCAAACCAATGGTCAAGCGGAGGTATCGAATCGGGAAATCAAATCCATCTTGGAGAAAATGGTGCGCTCCGATAGGAAAGATTGGAGTCAACGGTTGGAAGATGCACTCTGGGCCTATCGAACGGCGTACAAGACCCCTATAGGGATGTCATCGTACAGGTTGGTATTTGGAAAGCCGTGTCATCTTCCAGTGGAGTTCGAGCACAAGGCTTTTTGGGCGATAAAGCAATGCAACATGAACTTAGAAGAGGCCGGTGCCCAACGGAAGTTGGATTTGCAAGAATTGGAGGAGATCCGGAACGAAGCCTACGACAATGCACTAATCTACAAGGAGAGGAGTCGGGCATTTCATGACCAACAAATCTCTAAAAAAACCTTTGAAGTTGGTCAGAAGGTCCTCCTGTACCAATCCGGGCTCAAGCTATTCCCAGGTAAGCTACGTTCCCATTGGATTGGACCTTTTATTGTTACTCACGTGTTTCCATATGGTGCAGTTGTAATCCGGAGTGCTAAGACAGACAACAAGTTTGTGGTGAATGGACACCGTCTCAAACATTATTATGAAGGTTTTTCAAGTGGAGAGGCGGAGACAATAAGTCTAGACGCACCACCGTGTCCTAATCAGTGGCACTTTACCATGTCTAGCCAAAGACAGTAAAGAAAGACGCTCATTGGGAGACAACCCAATTGTTTCTTTTAATTGTTTGTTTTGATTTCGTGTGATAGTTTAAATATGTTTTCCTTGAATTTGACTTCGGGTCTTAATTTTCGTTTTTGGTGATTTGTAGGTGTCCTTCTGTCATGACGCGCTCGCGTCATGACGTAAGGAGAGGTCACGGTCAGAATCGTCAGAAGGGGTTCTTGCCCCCATGACTCGTCCGTGTCATGACGTAAGGAGAGCTCACGGTCAGAATCGTCAGAAAGGGTTTTGGTCCTCATGACGTGCCCACGTTACGTTCGCGGGAAAGGCAAATATTCAAAAGAAAAACTCAAGATCAGTTAGTGATTCCCTGTTAGTGTTTAATTTTGAATTTCAAAGTTGAGTTTTGTAATAATAAAGAAAAAATAAAATCAAAAATAAAAAAAAATAATTAACACAAAAAAAATATAATAATAAGATATATATATAAATAAATAAAAAAACTACTTTCTTCTCACCGTAGCTTAAATGGAGAAAAAAAAGAAAAAAAATCTTTCTTTTTCTTTTTCCTTCTTTTCTTTCTTTTTCTTTCTTTCTCTTTTCTTTCTTTCTTCTCCTCTGTTTTTCTCTGCGTCGCCCGCCGCATCTTTCCCTCTCTCTCTCGCGTTGGTCGCTGCCCACAGCCATTTCGATCGCGCGTGCCGCCGTCGAACGCCGCCCCCGCGAGCTGCCGCCCTCTACCTCCGCGCACGCAGCCTCCACCCCAGCAGCAGCTCCTCCCCGCAACCCCAAGATCCACGCGCAAGCAAACGCTGCGCGCCCTCCCGCGACCCCATCGCGCCGCCAGTGCGCGGCTCCCCTTCGTCTGCCGCTTCCTCCACCTCGCCGCTGCCTTCCACCTTCACTTGCCGCCTCTCTCTCTCCTCTTCGCACATCCCGCGACCTCGCCCATCGCTCAACCGCTCCTACCATCAGACCCCCCCACTGCCGCACGCCTCCGCCGCTGAAGCGCGCGGCCAAACACCCAAGCGCGCAGGACTGAAGCCACCATCTCCACCATCTCCAACCAGCAGCGAGCTCTTCCCTCGCGTGGAGCTCTTTCTCCTTCTCCCTTGTTCCCTCTCTGTCGTCGGCTCCCCTTCGCCCGCCCCGGCTATTGTCTTCCACCGCTGCCCAGTCCACCAGTGCTCCACTTCCGGATCTTGCTCGGTCTCCATAGTCACGCGCCCACAGCTCCTCTGTACACCGCCGCTGTCACTGCTCGCGTCTCACTTGCACGGCTGCCAGCTCTCTTACCCCACTCGCCCCTTTTACGGTGGAGGTATTTGAGACTTGCTCACCAATTTCTTAGTGTTGCCTGGTGCTGTCTGAGTTCGTAGACAATTGGTTTTGTCGGTTGTGGGGGTTATTTCTCATATTGTGTGGTAAACCAGTGGTACTGGTTGTGTTATTTGTCCAGATTCTGTTGATTACTTATTTGCCATATTTTTGGGAGTATTTATTGCGTTTTTGGGTGGAGTTGAATTGAATTGGTTTGGTTAGTTGGCTGAATTATTATTGCCGATTTTCTAAGTTGTCTGCTGGTTTTGATTGGAGACATTAACTGGCCAACTGGAGCCACCGGTTGAGATTTTGGGTGGGCTAAAATATTGCAAGTGTTTATTGACATTTGGTGCTTTCATTCTGTAACTGCCTGTTTAATTCGACAACCTGGTCGCTCAATATTTGCTGCCTGCATCTGCTTGTTCATATAATTGTTGGCCAGTGTCCTTCTTGGTAATTGGATTGACTGTTGGGAGACATGGTGAAACCAAAATCTTCCTCTAAGTCTAGATTCTCTCAGTCTCAACCCTCACCACAAGCCTCCATTCCCGTGAATACACCTACCAACCTACCCTCCTCTTCTAGTGTTTTAATCTGCTTGGGTAGGGGTAGGGGGCTCAGGTAGATACCCCAGCTCACTTTGGGGGGCACTTGACATTCACCAGACCCGCCGATCAGCAGAGATACGCTAAGGTCTGTGAAAGGCATATTATACCCTGCAAATCTTGTCAGAAAATCACTATGATTGCCCTGGGTATACGGGAGGAGGTCGATCAGATGTTTACCGCCATTAGGTGGCGCCCGTATCTTGATATCTCCTGCTCTACTTTTGTTGAGCTGATTCGGGAGTTTTACTCCACCTTTGAGTTCGAGTTACCTACGAGGTACACCGTTGAAACACCGAATGTAATTCATTACCGTCTAATGGGTCGGGAGTTCAACTTCTCCATTACCCAGTTCAATTTGGCATTTGAATTTATTACTAGAGAGTATGCTGAGACTAGGGAGTATACGGAGAGTGCCTGTGATTACATCGAGCCATTTCTCTCCCACTACCATGATGTGTGGGAGGACATGTCCGTCGATCGGCACCACTACGACCCTTCTAGGTCTAGGAGCTCATTTCTTAAGGATCCTAGTGCCCGATATGTTCAACGATTCTTAGCCTACAGCTACTCGGGGTGCAAGGACAACTCCGGTATACTCTCTCGACCTGAGTTTTTCTTCATCTGGAGTATGAAGAACAATATTAAGGTCAACTTGGGGTGTTGGTTGGCGGCACAGTTCAAGACTGTTTTGACCAAGAAGAACAAACCTCTGATCCTTGGGTCCTACATCACCCACTTGGCGACGCAGTTGAGAGTTCTTAATTTGGAGGACCACGACTTACATTTGGCTTTCGAGATGGAGTTCCTGGACGTGGACTGCTTAGAGAAAATGGGAGTTGTCGAGCGCCTGCCCAATGGTTTCCACCAGTTTACCCCTCCGGACCAATTCGAGCCCCGGGTATGCACCCTTCGACACAGGCGGGTCCCTCTTCATTCCCTGGGTCGGCCGAGATCACTGCTGGACCGTCTACCTCCGCCCCACCACCTGGGGGTCCTGAATGGCAACAACTCCGGGAGCAGGTTCAGAATTTGGAGGCTCGGATGCTCAACATCGACCTCAATGTTGCCGGCATAGAGCAGAATTTGGCACAATTTTTGCATCATGCGGGTTTCCCTCATCCATTTCCGCCTCGCCCACCACTTTGACCTGATTTCAGGGAAGTTTTGCTGCCCTTTCACCCACTTTTGATGTTTATTTGTCACATTGAGGACACTGTGTCTTATAGGTGTGGAGGGGGTCTAATGGGGCGCCTGTGTTTCTAGTTTCTAGTAGTTTTTAGTTTTTTTAGTTTTATCTCTAGTTCGTGACTTGTCTATCTTTTGTTCATTTTCGTTCTTTCTTGTTGGTGTTTAGCTCATGTGAATACCAGAATTTGGTATTGGGGTATTGCCTCTAATTCTACTTTTGCCAAGTTTTTAAAATAAAAGTGTATCGAGTTAATGTGGTTGGGTCCAAAAACTTCTCTTTGGTGAATATCGGACTGCTTGACTCTTTTGGGTTTCTTTGTTAACTTTTCTAGGCATAGGGAATGACTGTTGGCGTTTTAATGTGAATTGGTCCAATATTGACTCTAGTTCTCCATGTTTGGCAATAATGAGGCGAGCTGCTCCTGTGCTTAGTTTTTAGTGTGTTGTTTTGCGTTTTAGCGTTGTTTGGCTGTGAATAAGCTTGACTGTACTCCGCTATTAGTTACTACTGAGTAACCGGGGATCTGCACCTAAAAGTGTCGATTCTCGCATCAAAAAGTAGTACTTTCTATGAGTACGTGGTCGTATAGCGGTAGGAGCTGAGTAACCGGGCTCCTTCATCTAAAAATGTTGGAGTTTGCGTCAAAAGACTCCAATGGTTAGAGACTAAGTCTTTTTGTGTTATTCTAAAAAAAAAATTATAATAAATAAAAATAATAATAAAATAAATAGTAGTGCAGGTTGTGTTAGTATGTTAGAGGTCAGCTTGCCGATGTATGGACTGAATATGGAGATTTTGGTTAATATTTAGATTGTTTGCTGATAAATGTTATGCGCCATTCCTTTTTCTTAGATTAACTAATTTGGAAATTGAAGGAGTTTGTAGTTTAGAGGCTAACTGGAGGAATGCTTCTCGGATTTTGACCACTAATGCTTGATATATAGTTTTCCTTGGTATCTTGGCAATATAGTAGATAGAGTAATGGCCATCATCAAATTTTGGTATCGTTCACTATTCTTATGCTTGAGGACAAGCATGATTTAGGTGTGGGGGGAATTGATAGGTTGCAATTTTATCATTTATTTTATTATTAATTTCCCCTATTACCTGACTTGATGTGGATTAATTGCTGGATTCTACTCATTTTTCTTAATTTCCATTTATTTCAGGGAGTAGATCAAAAATACCACAATCACTGCTACTTTGATAGTTATCGGGAAAGAAATAAAATAGAAGGCTTGCAAGGGCATTTTTGGAAAAAGGGACACAAGCTCTTTTCGGTCATTTGACCGACATCTTGTTTTCCCTGGGAGCGGCCGCACACTGTAAGGGGAGACTATCATATACAAAATGGAGGATTGCAGCGGATGAGGGGGCGGATTACTTTTGAGCTTTTCGTCCTTTAGTTTAGCCTCACTTTTTGACTTCTCTTCTTAGCCTTTTGTAGGCATTCTCCACGGCTGTGAGAAAAACAATGAGGAGTACTAGCTTAGCATTTCATTGACTTCTTCCTTTAGATTTCCTTTTGCTTGTTCCCACGCATGTCAGGAGATTGGAGGCTACCTTCTTTGACTTTTCCTCCTTGTATCTTTTGAGTGGCTTTGCTCTACGGATGCTAGGAACAATAAAGAGATTCAATTGTTACCTGTAACTTTCATTTGCTTTCTAATTGTTCGACGAATTGCGGCTTCCTGAAATGCAGACCATGGCTGTGACTGTTGCTGAAATTTTGTACGGGTTTCGTTCATCGAATATGAACTAATTCCCTCACTCTAGTCAAGAAACGACAGATGCTTTGGATCACCTAAAAATTGTGAGACCGATTTAATTTAATATTTTCCTTTTATTTATTGGTATTCGCATATTCCTGGATTGCTATGCTTATGGTTATTTAATTAATTGATTGTCTTGGATCCGGATAATTAATTGATTTGGTAACCTATTGTCAATTAGGGCATTAAATCTGTAATTATTTAATTGTCCTGAAATAGTGACAACTGGCACGATTAGATTCGTGTCAGGGGGATACGCGGGCTAATCTGAAATAACCCTGGTAGTGCGTTATTTGGTTAGAATAGGGCTCCTCTAATACGTAAGGCAATTGAGGAATTAA